TTCTAATACTTATCTCGTATCAATGCAAAGGATAGAAATGACCTGCCCTGCTTGCACTAATTACCCGCTTGTACTGCCTGTTTAAGCTTGAACTAAATTAACCGAAGATTAATTACTTCTATATAAAACTCAATGAAAGCTACTTTGATGTAAAAAATATCATACTTTAATGCATTGAAGTGTGCTCATTTTGTGCTGATTTAGATTTAGTCATTAGACACTCCAATCTATGTCAGTTATAGCTAAAGCATCATGATATAACCTTGCAGTTGTTGTGGTTGACGGCGGTATTTTTATTTGATACTTTAGCGATGATTTCAGAATTTCAAAAATCATCGCTCATCCTGAATCAGGATGTTTGTGGTAAGTTCTGCTGAATGCTTGTTGCTTGCGAGGTAAATGCAATTGTGAGTTTATACGAACTGACCTATTGTCCTTCTTGTCTTCTAGTGCTATGCCGTACGTATTGACTGGCCCTGAGCGCTCGGCGCCAGGTTGAAGTCCTCACCATGGTTGTGGTTGTATTCTGAATACCAGATATCCTCGAAGATGTAATACAGGCGTGCTTCAGCCTACACTGCCCCCCAAGACAACAACCACTTCCAAAGTATGTAGATGTATACATGCAGTCTGGACCCGGATAAAAGACCGTTTAAAATCCAATAGAAAGTACCGCCTGACAGAACTCTGTCACCACGCGAGGAGAAACAGGCCATTTCTGAGACGAGGCGACGTTACCAGTCAAGTTGCACTTCAACACGTTGAAGTTGGTCCGTAGCGTTACCAGGTAGCCGATTTAGTTGGATCCAGCATGCACGAGTGTAGCGTAGGCACGTACAAGCAAATTGTCACCACGGAACGAACATATTCACCCACACGTGACGGAACGTCCTCTTGTAGCGCTTCCAGAGACTCCCACGAGTCTTATTCGTCCTGTAGACCCTCCCAGGACACGAGAAGCTGCCATACGCCTCTGTTCCTCCGGTGTTCTTTTAAACTCTCAACCACAAGTAGCATACCTTGGTTGCCTACATGAGCAAGTAGTTCTTCACTTACTTCCAAACTTGAGTCAGCGTAGAACTTAAGACGCGATCCATGCACGACGTAACGTTTGTTCGTCACGAGGTGACGGATCGTGAAGGAGTGGGGGGCCGTCTCCACGACTTCAAATGGCCCTACCTCAATCCTTGAATCGATGCGTGACCATAGCACAATATTGCCCACGCTGAAGTTGCACTCAGTACTCTTGGACCGAGCCATATTCTGAAGACGACGCTTCTCACGTTGATCTACAACCTCCTTGTGCAAACCGGCCAAACTGGTCCGCAGATGGTCCCGGCGCTCTGCAGGCAACGCCGAAGTCTCCAACACTTCAACTTACTGACCTCGTTCCAGTAGGATAGGCTCAAATGGAGTCGGGCGTGGCAGTCCCGTAAACATTTCACTCGGGGCTTTGTCGCCGAGCGATCGCACAGGAGTATGGTTGAGATTTCCCTGCACGAGAGGCAAGATATAGACCCACTCATGAGTGTCTAGAGTGTACTCCATCATACACGCGTAGAACTTGGAGTACGTCGCGGTTTAGACGTTCAACCGTTCCTTTAATCCATGGTGCATATGCCACGACAAAGTTCTGGTCAATGTCTAACTTCTTACCAATCATAGCAATCAGCTCGCTCTTGAAGTGGCCGCCCTGGTCTGACATTAACACCGATGGAGCACCAAAACGTTTCCACCAATCGACTAAAGCTGTTGCCGCCACCACACTTGTAGGTGAATCACAGGCCACCAGTTCGCAAAAGTGGGTGAGATTGTCCTTGAGTACAAGAACGTACTTACACGCACCCATGCTGTCCCCGAGAAAGAGAAAATCAAAGAGTAGTAGTTCGTTTCGTTCTGTAGCCTCGTAGGTGGGTCCCCACGGGCGAGGGATGACGTTTCCCCCCTTCACGTGCTTGCAAAGATAACATCGACTCAAAATCCGGCGGCAAACTTGAGTGAGGTTCGCGATCTCGAACAGCTCCTTCACTGTTGTGATCATGGGCTCTAATCCTCTGTGGCCCTGGGCTCCACAGTGAGCGACGATCAAAATCCGCTGCAGTAGTGCCACTTCAACTTCAGGTATCCACAGTCGATCGTTAACAACCAGGGATCCATTGTCGTCACGCTTTACGTTCACGGGTGCACTGCTGACATGCTTTTGCTGCACTGCCTGGATCTCGCCCAGAGTAGGAAACACAAATCCGTTTGCTCGCAGGTGTACACGTTGCATTTAAGTGTCAGCTACAGCAGTCTCCCGAGTCCTGCTTCTGGTGATAGCTTTGCACTTGGTTAACACTCCCTCCTCCACTGAAGGAAGCCCCCACCTCGATAGTAAATCGGCCCATAAATTGGCAGATCCATCGATATGCTCAATCTGATACTGCAACCCTGTCAACGAGAGGGCCCAGCGTTGACGTTTTCCACGCACATGGCTCTTCACCTCTTGATCAGGAGCGAACACGTACACGAGGTTCTTGTGATCGCAGTAGAGTCTGAACCCGTTGCCACGAACTAACAGGTAGGTCAGGTTGCGAGACGCCCAAATGATAGGGAAAGCTTCATTTTCAAAAATACTCCAGCGCCTCGCCGTGTCATCAAACTTCCCGCTCTTGCATACGAGCAGTTCGTGCTGGTGATCCGCCACCGGAACACCCTTAGCCCAATCATGGACCTGCGTGACTACTAGCCCCCAGCCTCTGTCGGAAGCGTCCGACTTGAGTACGATTGCCGCATCCTGGGCTAGGTGATGGCGTGTTTGAGACGTAGCAAGTAGGTTTCGTGGAACTTCCAATGCAGCCGTATCACGAGCATCCCATTGGAGAGCCGCACCTGCGGCAAGTCGTTTCGTCCGACCAACTACTTTCAACACAGCTTCCAACTTGTCATGCAAAGGCTGCATCACCCGGCTGAAATCCATAAGAGAGTCACGCATCCATCCGGTTGCACAAAGGAACTGTTGTAAATCCGCAGCAGTACCGAGCAGAGGTAGTTGTCGGAGGCCACTAAGCCGTTCTGGGTCATGACAAACTCCAACACCACTGAAAACTCGGCCGCATCACTAAGCCTCCTTCCGAAACAGAAAACTTTTCATCACACTGAGTTTCAATCCAAGCTTGCGTGCACGAGCCAAAAACAGCCTCAACAAAGCGACGAAAACTACCGGTGAAGGCGCGTACAGCAAAATATCGTCAATCCAGATCAACAGATTCGTTCGCAGCATGTCCTCAAATTCAAAGTTCATCTGATTCTGGAAATGCAAGGGAGAATCCATAGCTCCTTGAGGAACACGACATGGCGGCAAACTCCTTCGTCCGTAATGAAATTCAAAGGCTCCCTACTGTCCACATCAAGCGGCAGCTGAGCAAAACCACTTGGCATGTCAAAAGCAGCAAATCCGTAAGCCCCTGCAACCTTCCCAGAGGACGACGTAAGATCAGCACATGTGCCAGCAATCGGCACTGTAACCACGTTCACCGGTCGGTAATCGACCGTCAATCGAAATTCGTTTGGCCGGCCAACCTTCGCAGCCGGCACCGCTGCACAAGCCCACAAGCTCATGTTGTTTCGATAGATAAGTCCGTTCTTTTCCAGCATCTGGACATGTTCTCGTAGAAACGCGCTCTGTGCTGGAGAATAACGGCGAGGGCGAGCTCGGTAAGGCTGAGCTTCTGGCTTCAACGTGATTCGTAAGGGTTCGACATCTGCAGGTGGGTCGTCGAGCAAATCGACTCGAAATACATCTTCATGTTCCATCACAGCTTCACGAAGCCCACCAAGATAATCTTGATCAAAGCCACTATCACCCGCCGCCGCCACCATTTCCTCCAATTTTACGTGTACCTCAGTTGGGGGCATCATGGATGGGACACCTAAATCGAACGGGTCTTCGTCCGCAACAGGGGGGCCAGATGCTAGTTGTGAAAGCTGCTCATTGACATCAATGCCAAGCGTTTTCAACGTGTCATTTCCAAGGATGAAATCTGACTCAGGACCTTCCATCACTTTGCAGTACACATCCGACAAGTGTACGAAACCTGCAACAGTCTGCAACAGTAGATCCAGCGTGACTGCTTCACGACACTCCACTGTATTTCCTCCTGCTGCATTTTTTTTCTCTGTGCGAGGTAATTTGATCACGTTCAGAACTGCTCCAAGTCCAATCAACTCATCTAAGTACTGTCGAGGTAGGTATGTCTCCTCCGACCCTGTATCAGCATGGAACGGGATCGTCAAAAGGTTATTAACCATTGTTTCGCCCGCGCAGGTGCCAATATGATCTTCTTGACGCGTCCATTTGTCGCTTGACGAACCTCCTTCATCTTCTCCACGGCTCGAGCTTTCTCGTCTTCGCTCGCCGCTGGACAATCCCTCAACCAATGAGGTCCCTGACAGTGCCAACAGCCCGTCTTCGGTGGAAGTGTTTCTTTCTTGGGCAAATTCTGCTTCACACTACCGCCAGCACCACCAGAACCACCGCGTATACTGCCAGTGGCACCCTGCATATTTGCTGTCTTCATACTTGCTGATCTGGCTTCAGGTATGTTGTTGTTGCGATCATTCGCCTTATCCTTCTTGGACAAGTTCGACTTGACCTTCTGCTCGTGTGCCATTACATGGTACTTATGCTGTGCACGGGCTTTCTCCTTAATAATCCCAAAAAGCGTGAAGTCGTTGCGCCTCGCTTCACGACATTCGTACTTTACGTGGCGACGCACGTCGTCTCGAAGCATCTTCGGCCCCAAGTTATCGATGAGAGCAGTGCACCGTAGTTTCATTCGGTCAACGTACCCACCGTCGGCAGGATCACCCACACCAAGGAACTTCGCAAAACCATTCTCCTTAATGAGCGTCGCGAAGTCCTTGTAGTATTTGAGTACTCGGGCGTCAATGTCATCCTCTCGGAGGTCGATCTTCAACAGTCGCGAAAAAAAGTTGTCTAAGTCTGGGACTTGGGCGTTTTAAACAGACCCGAGTTTAGCGTCGATCAAGGTGACCAATTCTTCACTACGCACCTCGTCGACAGCCTTCCGGAGTTCGTAAAGGCAGAGTACTTCGAGCAGTTCCGGGTCAACACAAGTCTTGACTGGACGCAGAGCAGCTTCCAGTCTTTCCCCACTCTCAGTGCAACGCTGGCGAACAATACTCAGGTATTGTTCCCACCTCTTCTTCCAGCTGACAGCTGCGTCCTGACTCCAGTTTGTCAATCTGGGTGCTTGAACAAACTCGAACACGGGTTGCTGAACATTTTGCATCACAGCATCTCCGTCCGCATCAAATCGAGCTTCACTGCTTTGCATCTTGTCGCAGTCCTAAAAAGGACTAACGTTAACTTTGTGGTAAGCTCCGCTGAATGCTTGTTGCTTGCGAGGTAATTGCAGTTGTGAGTTTATACGAACTGACCTATTGTCCTTCTTGTCTTCTAGTGCTATGCCGTACGTATTGACTGGCCCTGAGCGCTCGGCGCCAGGTTGAAGTCCTCACCATGGTTGTGGTTGTCTTCTAAATACCAGATAGCCTCAAAGATGTAATACAGGCTGTGCTTCAGCCTACAATGTTTAAACGTCAATTAGGATCTTAATTAATAACTTTTTTAGGGGTCTACTTAACCAACCATAATTTACATTTCTCATGTTGTGTTGTTGTCTAACCGCTCCATTTAAAACTTTATCCTACGCCCTTGTCAGCAACACGTCCGCCTACTAAGTACACGTAGTATCGTAAGTACATGTAGTATCGGATTTTACTGTATAACAAACGCTTAGAAAACAATGGTCAAGTTCAATTCGTTCACAGTAATAATTGTCACATGTTCTTTTTGCTCAATATTAATCTTTGTGGCTCAAGCAACAACGTTTATTAGCACAGCGTTGTTCTAACGGTCAGTCCTTACGGCCGTCTACTGCTGTACTTGTATCATGTACAATTTAGCAGTACCTCATAGATACCCACTCAGATTACTTATGAATGTTATTAAATTATATGCTTACAACAAAGCAGTTGTAGTCATTATAGTCATTGTAGCTTGCAGAAAATATTAAGCACAGAGTTTTACGTATATTATAGTATGGCCTCGAAATTACGCATTCCTACGTGTAAACTAAGCACCTTGCAGCTTAGGAAGCGTCTTTAGGGGCTATTTCATTTGTGAATAAGTAGCTTTGTCTGTTTAGCACTCAAATATTAAAAGCAACATGCATTATTGCAATAGTAAATATATTAATAATACTTCGAATTATAAAATTAAAATGATGCCGCCTTCGGATACCGGTAATGGATAGTGCTGTAAACGCACGGTCACCAAGTGCTCCCAAAAAGAAAAACAGAAACTTCTAGTTTACAACTGCGCGATACTGAATGCCAACTGCGTCCTTAGTTTATTTAAGATTAACAGTATTGTTGGGTCCTCGTTTGACGGATACGACAGCCTTTTCTGACGAGGAGAGGATATTGGCAAAGGATATGCTACATGTAGTGGTGAACGCAGCTATGACAAATTGTGATCTAGCCATTATCATTGACAATGGCTAGATTGATCATACCCCTAGTCGAGATTCTCGTAACGCTCCCCACAAAAGAGGAGGATGGTTTCAGATTTCACGGAATGATCTTTCGGAGCAACACAAGGACCCTGCGTGACTCAAACGGCTGACGTAGACTCACACGACTGCCAATGTCTAACTTAGGTTAACAGCTTCCTAACACCTGCTTCCCTGTGCGGCATCGCTAACGATGACCCAGTGGCATGGTGGAGGGTACTCGAAAAAAATTGGGATTTGTGTCAACCTCGCTTGAATCTCGCCTATAGCCATCGCACCTAGAGTGTGCTGAAATGACCATATATGCATTTAAACCCGTTAATATCGATTTAAAAAAAGTATCCGTTTAGTGAGGCTCTCCAGAACAGCTGCCGTGGAACGAAAGTTTGTCGTCCGTTGACCGCCAGTAGGCCAACGAACAAAAACAGATGCACCGGTTAGTAGGCAACTGACCAATGCATCTGTTTTTGTTCGTTTCGCCTTTCTCCCTACGTTCTTACAGCACTACATGTAAATTACATTGTAATACTATAGTAATGGATATTCTTGTGTATGTGCTCTGCGAACCACATGAATTTAGTGATGTAAGCTACATAATTCAGTTTTAACCAAGCCTTCGCTGCGCTCGGCAGCCAATGGGAAGGCTAAAACAAATTGCGCTCCAATTTATTATTATTAAAATAGCTTTTACAAAAATAAAAACTACGAAATCTTGCAGCTGGGCTGGGGTGTGCCGTCGCAATCACTGATGTCTGTGCTGCACTGAATTGAGTGATTGCGAAGGATATGTAGCGCATGGTTACAGGGATTTGATGCTGTCTTTTTAACGCGTTTATTCTAAGAGGCTCGTGTTCAGTTTCAAAAGTCCCCCAATAATCAGAATGCACCTTAACCCTCTCTATTTCCTCTTCCTATTTCTCTCCTTCGCTTATTTAGGTGACCCCACCGAGCTGGTACCGAAACAGCGCTGAAATCGGACTCAATTCGCTCAATCTTCGAAGTTGCGAGATTCCTGAGAGCGGATAAGGCTGCCAATAACGCAGAGGATGAGGATCTTGAAGAAACGAATGAAGAAAGATTATCCCTGGTCAGCTTGAAGAATATATTCCAGCGGAATCCGAAAGCAATGACGGCTTTACAAAAGAACCCCGACCTCGTAAGGCAGGTGGAGCGTGTAGACAACAATCCTACTATTCAGAAAGGGATTCAGAGTGTCAAAGCAAACCGCGAGATGATGCAAAAAGTCAAGAGTCTAAGTAAAGACCCCAGCCTCGTCAAGGCGCTGCAAAAATCTCCCTCAGTCAAAACTGTCGGACAGGTAAATACGTACCTGTCGAGGGGCAAAAGTGAGAGCTCCGGGAAATCGGTGGTATTCATTCTCATTTTCGGCTTCTTCATTGCAATGGGAGGCGCTATCGGGCTATATTACCTTCTCGACAAACTTGGGGTTGGAAATTCCTAAGGATTTTAGATTACCACCAAAGTTTGTCTAAATAGAGTCATTTGCTCTGGAAAGGATCAACCTACTAATATCATCAGAGCCGCTTTTAAAAATCTTAATGAACAACTTTAGCCTCTTCCCAACCTCAAAGACCTCTATACCCTTGATTCTACATGTACTACTACTGTACTACTACGTACCCGGACTACATGCATTTCGTGCAACCACTGTAAAAACTACATCATTAAAAATTGTAAATAATCAAAATCGGTAAAAACTGCAAACAAAATTCTCCAAACCAGTAGCTGGAAATCACTACAAGTTCTGACAGCCGATGCGCGAAGCGCTTTATACAAACGCGCACCGCCTCAAGGCGGTGGATGCGGCCTGTGAAAGCGGTGTCTCGACGAGCTTGGCATCCGAAAATAAGTGCCACCGCTCTACGCTGTATCGATGGACGAAAAGAAGACAAGACATCGAAGCCGCTGCAGTCGGGTGCACTACTATTCCTCAAGGGCGTCGTGGGCCTAAAGTTGCTTTTCCAGAACTAGAAAAAAGTAAGATCATTCGAGTTTAATATATTATATTTTCTAACAAAATGCTGCTTTCTAGGCTTTTGGACTAGGTTCGTGACATGCGCAAGAACAAGGTGCGCGCTGTCATGTCGAGGTGCCTGCTCATGATGAGCGCACATTTAGAGCCACGCTTTCTTCTCGGTCGCTCGGAACAAGCTGCTGTTGAGTACCTCCGCCGTTTCCGCAGCAGAAATGGCTTGAGCGTGCGTCGTATCACGCACAAGGGTCGACGCAAGCGGAGCGAAGTGCAGGTATGTGCGAAAATTATTATTTTTAATTTGCTGCTAAAATACTAATTTTACTATTGAGGTCGTTGCTGACGAGTTCGGCCTCGCAATGCGCCATAAGATGGAAATGTTTAGCGCAGGAACTGAGAAGTATAATCACTTCTACAATATGGATCAAACCTCCATATATATCGACATGAATCCTAAAACAACTATCACGTTTCGTGGGGAACGTGACGTTGATGTTGTGCAAGGTAATCATTTTGTTATTGTCTTATAATATAAGACTTATATACTATTGATTCTAACTGTGATCTAGGAATGTCTGAAAACGCTTTTCGTGCCAGTGTTTTTATGTGCGCATCGGCCACTGGAAAGAAGCTGCCAGCGTTTATTGTGTTCTCTGGTGCCACAGGAGGCCCTGTTCACTGCAGGCTCATCCGCCGCATAAAGCAGATGATTGTGCTTACTGTGCAAAAGAATGCGTACTGTGATGAGCGCATTATGATCGAATGGGTCAACGAGGTATGCTTTTACTTTTCTTTAAATTTTGTTGTTTTTACTAATATTATGAGCAGGTGTGGACTCCGTCGGTCACCTTTTGCCGCATGCTCTTGCTAGACAGCCTAAAAGTTCACAAAATGGGCTCCGTTCGCGCCAAGCTTGAGGAAGCTATGACGGGTGTAGACTTTGTGCCAGCAGGAGCGACAGGACTTGCCCAGCCGATGGATGTGTCTGTCATGCGTGTTTTTAAACACTGGTGTAGAGAGCTATACGTTCAACACCACATTACAAACGACTTTAGCTTGAACGCTAAGGAAAGACGCAAGTTAATCACGTTTATAGTGCACGAGGCGTGGAGGGCAGTTCCCCCCAAACAATACAGCGGGGTTTTGTCAAGGCGGGCCTCGTTCCGATAGGACCACGAATGGTAGATGGCACGTTTCGTGTTGCCGAGCCACCAGCGCCGGAACTAGCATAGCATAGCTCACTCACTAAAAACTAAACGTTTGGTGCTAATTTACATTTTATTGTCATGGATGGAAGTTCGTTGTAGAAGGGGTGTCACCATATAGATTGTGGTTGTGTTGACTTTTTACGTTCGCGGTTGCATGAAATGCATTGGTTGCACGAAATGCATGGGGTCCGGTAGTACTGTTGCCGAACACTGTTCAACAACTCACATTTAATTTGTGGATGTCAGTGGCATTAAATTCTTGAAACGTTTTCTGCTTATTTTGTCCCCACTGGAAATCTGCATCCGACAATAAGTCTCGGTCGTATCAGCATCTTGAAGAGTATTGTATTTTATTTATCCCGACGAAATTTTATTAAGTGTACCTGTGCGCGTATTGACGCTCCGTTAAGGCATATTATAAGCCCTGCAGTGTATTCAACACCATTAACCTTTCTCCCCGCAGAATACTCTATCCGGAGGGGGCTGTTGACCAAGCTATAAGCAATAATTTGCCGAAATTCGTCAAAGGACTAATCTTTGAATTTTTAGAAAAATGCGTA